ACTTGGAACCAAGCTAGTGGGATTCGCTTCAGGAAGTGTATGTTCTTGGTGTAATCCCAACGTGGCATATTCAATTAAATGACAAATTGATGAAGAAATATTTCGTAATGGTTCTCAGTGTTTCGATATTGCTGAGAAGATGCTTTTCAAGAGTATGACTTTCATATTGATGTTTCAGGTGAATATTGAATTTTGTACAGAAGGTGAATGAAATGTAGTGAGGAGTTTTATTCAACTGTGAAATGTACATTGGCGTGATGTATCATTGAGTAGGAGAAGGAATCGATTGGTGTTAAGGAGGGATGTGAATGCTACGGATAAATTGTGTACAGCAGTGTGAAATTGAACTGGGTTCAACCACCTCCTTGAGTGTTATTTGTAAATTTGCATGCGAACCACTCATTTTTGCCATGTTTGTATGAACTGCAGTCCGCTATTTCTGTTGAGCATAGAAGGGTAGCAACAGAAATGATAAGTTTCTGCAATAACATTTTCCTTGTAAACGAGAAACCAATGTTCCAAGTATATAGCCCTTGCAGACGGTATTTTCCAACGTGTGTGTAGGACATGGGCAGCGATATTAGAGGCTTTTTCAGAGCTTCCCAGTTCATGGGAAATATTCGGTTTCTCCTCACAACTTCAACCGTGTTCGATTTGATGTGTTAGTTTCTTGGGTGATATCTCTGTAATGCATGTGGCATCGCATTCACCACAGTTTGCTTGATGGACGTGTTTCTGTTGTTCTAGAAGTGGGAATAGTGTGTTTTAATCTAAGTAGGCATGAGAGAATACGCTTATTAGTGACTATTCAGAATACCTACATTTTCTGGTGTGCATATGAAATAGGGGAGATCTGAAGCACTTATTCAATCTCTATGAATTGATTTTTTGATGTTTTTTGTCGACAAGCTTCCTTTTATGCCTCGAAGCAACTCCTCTGCATAATTGTTCTGTTACAGGACTTGCAGAACAACCTGCCTGTCTGCATTGTGCGGTTCGCCTGAATTTGTTATCTCTTGAGATCTCGTCAATGGATATTTTGTGTCATTCTGCTTGTTTGGTTCTACTGGATGAGTGTATTCAAAGTCGGTGTATTTGTTAGAGTGTTCTTCTTTTTGATAGACCTTAATATCAAGTGAACCGTTAGTGTTTCGTCAATCTCTGAAGTCTGTGGATGCTGGAGTTTCGGATCCTACTTGTAAATCAAAAGTGAATCGACTCTCTTGAGAAGGGTGATCGATTTGCAAATGACTTACTGTTTGCATTTTTCACGTTGATGTTTCTCATGGCCGAGTAGATTTCCAACTGCTCAACTGTTGTGTCAACAGGATTTTGATTGGGAACTGGCTATCAGTGAAGATCTCAAGGTGTGATGTCTGACACAATAGTTTCATGAACTGGTTTGACACACTACTGAGCAATCTCAATGGTTTGATACTACCTGGTCTGATGTGTAGATTTCGGTAGTTGGAAAAGTGTGATCAAGGCACTTGTGATTAGCATGACCCTAAACGGAAAATATAAGTCGTCCACCACTCTGATTTAGCTGGTGAATTCAGAGGATCTGAGTAAGCGATTCCTAACCGTTGATGTATTGAAGCATTGTTTTCGAAAAGCTATATGGTAAATTTCCCTTATGTTATGACAACCCCATCACTTGTATACCTTCAGCTTACTCTCTGTGTTGAGTCATGTTGGCTGAGGAGGTCTGACTCAACTGTTTATATAATGAGTAAACTGCAATAAGCTTAATTAGGGGAACGCCTACCACCCTACTGATTGTACGTTGAAGATTTATTTGAGAGGTGAAAATCTTTCATGTTAAACTTAATTTCGATGCACAGTAAATTTCAATGACAGCTAGATTACATCTAATTGATACGGGAGTGCGGGTGTCCGAAGATTGAGTACAGAGTGGGTTATTCCTGATTGGGTCAACACTGCTGAACCCTTGCTATTGAAAATGCGAATTTTAATTTTCCACTCTCATGTCTGACTTTACTGTTTAGGATTATTGAAATGCGCGACTGATGGAACTGTACAGATATTTCGGTATGAGTTTGCTCGACGGTCCCAGTTCTAGTTACTACAGCCCACGAATTCCAGTCATGCTTTTGTTTGACAAACGTTGTGTGTTAAGAACTGGCAAAACCTTTTATTAGCATCCTACTGAAAAGATCTAATGTCCATATGATGACAAATTCGCACAATACACTTGATATACTGTCTTCAGATTGAAGCTTTTAAGCATGTCAGAACAAACGTGGTTGAATTATGCAATCGAGTAGGTGGGAATTCATGAGTATAAATCTCGATGAACAATATAGTTGGTGTGAGGATGTCTGATAGAGATGACTCCTTGTCAAGTGACTAGAAGCAGTGAACAGCTGACAAAATGCACGATGGTGACTGATGTAACACTCAGTTTATTCATCCGATTACCGACGCCACCTAGGAACCCAAATCAGCTTCTTAGAGATGAGTCCACAAAAATAAATATCCAGGAACCACTTCCTAACATGAAGTCCACTTGCTTCCCTATTCAAGCTGCTGTAAACTGCTTTTGGTTTTCAATAATCAGTTCCTACATACTGTTAGGTTTACTGTTTCTACTAAATTTTACTTTCAGACAATTCAACAACGCTCCCCATATCAATGTTCATTCAATCATTTTATGAGTGCTTAAACTCTCATGCGACAACAATATTTTCCTGCTCCCCAATTGATTTTGCAATGCTAAATTCGGTTAGTCCATATGTGTGAGTAGGTGTTTGACACTGTGATTAACGACAATTCCACTTTCCCATGTTTATTTCGATGTTTCAGACATTGATGCAGACGGAGTCACTGAAATGTTCAGACATAATTTATTTCTAATGTTCATTTTATGTGTACTGGCCATCTCAGTATTGTTGATGGAATACTTTTCTTCCAATGCAGATTGGGATCATTTATGTCAGTACAATAGCATTGCTTGAAGTCAGTTAACATTGCTTCATCACATTTTTTGACGAGTACTTCACTATCCTTTCCGCTAACCAATACGCATCAGACAACACTTCAACTCTAAAACCGACTTCTGGATGCTGTACAATTTCTTGACTATGATGTGAATTTTGGTCGGCCATGAGAATCTGAGAATGAAACGACAGTGGAATTGATTTCATACTTCGAGGTACTCCACCCGGTTTTATATTAGTCAATTTCAGAAAACAGTCACTGATTTATGTAATATATGACATGTTTTACAGCAGTAAGCTAAATTGTCAAAAGAATTGCATGTGGATACCAACTAAATATATTTTTGTCGTCTATCAAATTACAAGCAATCGTTAGTGCGAACAATATATATTTATTTAATTATTTCAAGCATGGAAATATACACTGCGAATTTGTTGTCACACTCACGACAGATGTTTAATCGTCTCAAGCCTCTTTATCAAACATCTTTGAGACAACATCGATCACATCTGAATCCGCATCACCTAGTTACAGTAAGCAAGAAAGCAAAACACAACTGGTTGTAACGTTCATGTTGATGAAGTGAATACTTGTCTAGGAAGTCGAGGAGTGTGTGAAAAAGAATAATGTCAGTTGGAGAATTGAGTTTGAAATGGTGGAGGAGACTGGTAGACATCGATAAGGGTGAGAGTTATTTAGTGTTCTCCGCTTTTTGAGATTTCTGCTTGTGAGTCTCTTAGACAGGCCATCCGACGTTTGAAGCATCTCCTCGCCAGCTTCATAGGAGTTCAATCCTGATTTACTCATCTAGCTTGAGGATGAAGCGCTCAGGAACAAATCTCGGAGCTTGGAGAACACTAAATTTGATATGAATTCAGTCACCGATATATGTGTTAGACGGGAGAATTCTGCAAGGAAGCTGATGAGAAACTAGTGACATCAGAACACAGTATGAAGCAAAATACTACCGAAAGACCTTGCAAACGTCCCATACAAATCCGGAGATGAAATATTTTCATAGTGTGAAATACGCTCGACTGCTTCGAAGTATATTCTATTCCTTCCTTTTAGGTAATAATCAGAAGGGATATTGACAATACTGAGATGCACACAAATGAGGGCGGAATAGACAAATGAGGAGTGGAGTGATATTCGAAGTTTTGAGATGATGATATGAGTTGACGAAATACATAGTCACGGTCAATTTTCACATCTGCTCTCTCACACCTCGAATTGTGCTTTCCCACACACGTAACAACAACACAATAAGTGATTTAATTTGGAGGTTTGAGGTGACTTGTTTATTTTATGTTGATGTGAATGATGGTGTGATATGAGTTGTAGAGGTACTGAAAACCGGGAAGCAATGGATGGGTATTCCATCCTATTATTTGATTCCTCAGCATTGAACACTCACAACCGCTTCATTATTTAGACTCAAGACTATCGGTGTTCGCAGCGACCACGTTACTACTGAGCCATTGGTTTGGAGTTCAATGATGCAAAGTTTCCCTCTCTTCACTACTCGCAATATAGTGCAGGCTTCATCCATCTCTCATGTCAAGGCAAGTCACCATAGAGCGCTGAACACTACTTCACTTTGAATGTTTGTGGGGGTCTTTTGACTTCCAGTTGGTATTCATTGCAAGATAAAATCAGCTGAGGAAGAAGCAAAACTCTCGGAGAAGTCGGAAGCGTGTTTGTGCATGGTGCGTTACTTCTCAATACTCACTGTGTCCATTCTTCGCTTTAGCCCAACAAATTTTATGCTAATCTAAAGCATTCAGAATTCAAGCAACACCGGTTCGTTGGTGCTTGCTGGTTCCTTAGTGAACGAGAACACTTCTTCGGAGATGCAATTTTCATCGATGCCCGTTGTAAGACGCCTTCGAATGAATCTGTCTACCACCTCATATACTGCCTTCAGTTGTATTGTCTGACAACAGTTCAATAGGAAATGGCTATCTGCTATGAAACATGCCATCCAATATAAGGCGATAATCTCTCAACTATGAGCAACATACGACGTGTGAGAAATATCATTTAGGCAGATCATCTTCAATTGAATTACCTCGTTTAACTTTCTCAACCGTTTCGCCCTTTTCCTTAGAGACGGAGCGTACTTCCTTCTCATATCGGCTCACCTCTTTCATTTTCGATTCACCTAAATATCGAAAAGAAATGGATTTTATGAAATATCGTGAGTCGTCATTGTCGGTTATGAAGGAGAGAATTCTTTTTTCAACATCACTGCCACAAACTTTACAGACTCATGGATAGAATAACGAGTGTTTCGATGTTAGATAGTTTGAGGGGGTCATCAAGAATCGCTGCTTCACCAAGGGTTCGTATATGCCGGCACTCATCAGCAAGGCGTATATGCGATCAAGAGGGAATTGATTTCCCCTGAAAGGTTGAAACCCACACGACTGACTTCTTCAGTCACTGAGGTTACCACTCAGCTATTCAGACCACGAATGACTCACCACTTTCAAATGTTAGATTTAAAATTCAAGTCTGCCGAGATTGATGAATTTCTGTGTTCAGGTGAGGAACACTCAAATTCGAATAAAATGGAAGTATATGTTTACGAAATGCTTATCCTCCATGTATCGAACAACTTGCAAATCACTGTGACGTCCCTATTGTCCGCCAGTTTCCGATTGTATAAAGATTCCAGTGAAAATTCAAAAAATGTTTTGATCAGGATCAACTAACTACCTTTCTTTCTTCTTCCAATTTTCAGGTCTCTTTCGAATTCTCGCACCGTCTCCCAATCTGCTTTGAAAAATGGATGCGAGAAACATTATCAGAACTAACGTAAACTGCTGAGAACTTAGCAATATAGAATAATAATGATAACAATACATAATATATTTATGCGTACATGCATACATATCGTATATACTGAAGTGTTCGATCACTGGATGAAATCATACAACATTATAAGGTAGATAAACAAACATACAATGAACGGTCATTTTTCAGAACAAACCTCAGTTGAAAATTGTGAGATAAAATGATGATTGTAATGTAAGATGAGAAACAAGCTGATAAACAATAAGCAGACACTAAGGCCGACAGGATAGAAGTGAATTGAATTTACTGGAGAACAACTGCAGTATCACAAGTGCTAAGTGACCATCAGGTTTTGGATGAAGTGTATGCCTGTAAAATGTGTTGAACAGCTACATTTGTTGCTGTTGTTCGAGTAGATGAAAGGATAAGTAGATGTGGGTAACTCGACAGCATTTACTGTAACTAAATGTGAGTTATTGAAGTGATGACATGGTATGCTGAAGGCTAAAATGAAACGCAAACAAAGGCAGATTTCAATTCCATGTAAGACGTCGTCCAGTAGGATATCTGAGTTACAGGGAGCAAACATATAATCAATGTATTACCTATGGATGTAATGAGGTTCAATATTATGAGAGAAGTTGGAATTTTCTATTTCGACATGATACTTTGTGACAACACAGTTGTTACTGGTGATCCATGTGTGAGACCATCATTTCGGCGGTATATCTGATCATTGAAGCTGAATGTCACATGAAGGTGCATCTCATCAAGAGCCCTCTGAAATAGGTGCTTGAATTTCCTAGTTTCATTTTATCTGAAACAATGTAGTGTCACTCATAACCTACAGTTGAAGTGAGTTGTTCAAGGGTGAACATACGAATGACATGAGTTTACAACTGGTGTCAACATCCTCAACGCTGTCAAAAATACTGGACATTGCTTTGAACATTCAATCACTTTGAACCATGTAACTGACGTGTATAATGATCTTAAGGTTGTCTGTCGAATTCCCTCAAATATTTCACATTTTCTCCGCCTTCAGATTTCTAAACTGGCACAGACATTGGTCAAGTATTTACCAAAGTCAAACCTTTGAGTTCACATCTCCACGTGTGTAGATTAGGGTGCTGATAAGTGATTACTTGCAAATGTTCAAATATTAACAATTTGTTTTCACTTTCACTCGTGTTTTTCACTCGAATCGCTCTCTTAATTCTCCACTATTTGTAGACCCTACATGGAAGGATAATAGACCAATGTTCCTCGGCCCACTTCTTCTCAGTAGATTGACAAATTTATCTGTACTGTTTCGAGAAATGCTTTGTATGTGTGTACAGCTATAAGAGATGGAGTGACTTGATCGAAACTATGCTTCTTTCTACTCATTTGTTGACCTTCTACAAGCACATGATTGAATTCTCACTGTGCATTGCATCCTCGCCATTTCATGCATAATTCTTCCTCAGTCTCATCTGAATACTGACTAATTTTCTCTTGCGAAACTTACCATTCCCTTACTTTTCAGTTGACGCTTCACTATGTTTTACTCTGTAAGGTATTTCGGCCAACGAATCAGAGTACACGTAGAAATATTCGACACATTCACATAGCCTTCACATTCTCATGAATTGGCCACATTTGAGAAGGATGGAATCCAGTGTTGTATCGAATAGCCAGTGGTGCGTCGCCCATCATCGAAGGCTTCACTCGTGTGGGATTTCCGACAATGACTGAAGTCACGTAAAAGCGTACCACACACATTGGTAAAATACTGTTTCCTACAAGGCATAAGATAATTTAATTTGGAAACATATTGGAGTCTAATTGTCACCTTGATCATTATCATCATCGTCATTGTCATTATCATCGTCAGATTCCTGCTTTTCGCTCTTCTTCCTACTGCCTTTCTCACGGTTTCCGTCATCTGGGAGAATGAAAAGGATGAAATGAGTAGGATTTTGACCAAGGAAGGTAAAAAATGTAGATCATTTTGTACATGGAAATGTCATCAGTCTGAAGCATACCTGAGTGTTTTGTAGATTTCTTTTTCCTTACGATTTTCACCCTTATTTTTTCGTCATCCTCTTCTTCTTCCTCATCTAAAACATGAAGCAGTCGCGTGTTCTGTGTGAAATGGGAGCATCACATCTTTATTTTCAGTATTATACACGTGTGCACACTAGTGTGGACAGAGGAACACTGATGAATTGAATGGCTGTGTCAGTATCTTGATTTGATTGTGCTCACCTCTGAAGTCTTAGGAGAGTGATCAGTTACCATTCAGGTGAATAAATCATGCCGTTTGTTAAATTCAGTCATTTCTCAGTATGCACCTATTCACTCCGAAATCGAAAGGTGGTCATCTAATATCCTGCTGATATAATGAGGACGGTGAATGATTTATTTACCACTATGTAAGATTAAAAATATAACTTATTCGTTTTCATATTACCATCAGATTTGGGCTTTGACTTTGGTTTCTTTTCCTCAGGTTTAGGCTTTTCCTCCTCTATAAGTAGAATAGAATATCACAATTAAGCATCTCTTAGGTCAAAAGTCAAGGAGGATATCTTATATTCAGAAAATCGCTTTCGTTGTCTTCTAATCATGTGGTGTATTCAGACCTGGTTTTGCAGGCATTGTTGATTGATGTGAGTAACCTCCAACTACCTGATATATGTCGAAGACAGAATCTTGATTTTACAATCCTCGACAAAACTAATCACACTGTAAGATTTCTCTATGTCGTGGCATACCCCAGTGTAGCTGAGACATTCTATTCACAATGATACACTTCATAAATCCTGAAGATCATTTTGCTTAGCTCTTCAATGCCTCATGTCATTCAGCTTAGCATGAACTTACTCTCTGGAAATCTAAATAAAGGTGTATTGATCTTATTGATTGATAGAATATTTGATGGAGGCAAAACAAATGATGGAATAGATATCACTATCAGAATGATGGTACGTGAGTGGATCTAAGTCACCAATTCCAAACCACACAACCAATTGTATCCAATCATCGATTTCACTGTTCGAATGGAACTCAACTTACTAGTCTGCATTCACTCACAGCGTTTTCACCAACAGTAGAACACCGCAAGAAGTTAACGCTTTTGATGTCTACTGGTTTCATTGATAATACTTACTTTTCTTATTTTTGTCAACCTTCACTCTTCTGACTACCCGAATCTCAGATCTCGATTTGCGCTCATCATCATCTGAAAACATGTGGATACAATTCAATTATATTCTGTAGACTTTGTCCACGTTAACTTATGTTTATGTTTAGTTATGTTGAGTTAAATGATTTGCAATGCGAAACAGGTCATTTGAGCTAGAAATAATTGTGAGTACTGATTACAGACTGCTGTTGCATTCGGAGATTTCAGGTTGACGAAATTCCTACCATCGAATTGAACAGAATGATATGCTAATATGAAATGAGTGAACTTGCAAAGTTATGTTGAGAGGAGAGAAATTTGCAAGGTTCCATGTTTTTTGGACTATGAACATCACCTGAAACATTAAGATGGTTGAAATTATTTGTAGCTCAGGTAGATGATCCATGTTCTTTTGTGTTCTGTGACTGAACCAGTCAGTTCAGATAACTTGACACAACACAACACAACACAATACAACCAAGACTGCCTAAATACCTCAGTGGAAATGTCGCTCACTGCTGAAGGGGATGAATCAGGTCTCGAGTTTCAGAGGAGAAATCATTTCAATTAAGGTTTTCGTACACCCAGCGGGCAAGTGCCAACAACCGTGGAAGCAAGTTGAATTGAAGCTTCTCAATGGTTGCCTGCAAACAACCAACCCAACGCATACCTTTACAAATTTCAGAGTGATCACTATTCACATGTGAAAATTGTTTTAATGTCTGAAGTCTGCACCTACCGATGACTTAGTGATGTTCATATGAGAGTACTACTGTCATAATGTATGTGAAAACGGTCACTTGTTACAATTATCAAACAGATCTTCTTGCTCTGTACACTGGATCAAAAATGACGTCTCACACCATATAATATAAATTTCTCATGCACACATCTGGAAAACCACTCAGTTGATTTTATGAAAGTTAGGAGACGCAACAAGTTTAACGAAGCTTTCTAACTAGGCTAGAAGTTGCGCATTTCACAAAGGGGTTGGGAGATTATTTGACTTGCATAACTTTCTGTTACTTCTTCTCTAATATGATTATTTTCAAAATACAATATGAATGTTGGCTACCAGTTGAGAAGGTTATCATGAAATCGACTTCATAGGCTGCAGACATTTTACCCATTCATTGTCTGCTGGTCTTAGCCTTATACGGAGGTGTAGACTACATGACTGGAGTCAATGAGATCATAAGAAAGAGAGGTGGGGAACACTGGGTGATGATGCTGGAAATCTACTATGACACTTCAGATGATTGATTCACTCCTTGGCGTCTTCTAAGGACTGAATATTGTCTTGGTTGTATTGGGTTCTGTGAGCTTTGTTGTTTAATCGTGAAGCTTTCATCCTCCTTCTAGATGTCATCATCAGTACTAACTTCAGTATGTAGTGAGCTGTCATTATCTCTCCGTGAGTGTCAAAGCAAGCTACTAAAACAGTCAAGGAGAGATAATGACAGCTCAATTCATACTGAAGTTAGTACTGATCATGTCGTCTAAAAGGAGGATGAAAGCGTAACGATTTAACAACTCAGCTTAGAGAACACAATGCAACCAATACTATCAACCTGAGCTACAAATATTCTCTACTATTTACTGAATATTATCGTTACCATCGATTTTCGAATTTCTCTTCCTCTCGTACACCTTTTGTCCACTCTGTTATAAGACATCTTTATTTCACTCGTTCTCGGTATGCCTGTGTGAAGTGTAACAAACTGAATTCATGGACTTCTCTCCGAGGTTTCACTTTCATTACTTTTGTCTATCTGACTAAATAACAGACCGCTACTCAACGAGATGCGACAAGGAATTCAGTATATGATTGTTGATTTTCTTCAATAACATCCCCATCTCGACACGTCTCGTGATGTAGAATAAACATTTGGAAATGTTGAATTTGCATAGTTGATGGTTGAATTACGTTGTATTGGAAGCGTAGCTGAAATACAAATTATTATTTGTTCTGCTATTTCACTTGATAAATTGACAAGCTAGTAAGCTGATTGTTCGAATCAACTCAACACTCACAATTTAGATGTCAGTTCAGATTTGCACACGCAAACACAGGTTTATTCAGTGTTCATTGGAATGGCTGCTAAGAAATTATTAGATATTGATTCAAACAATAGATATCTAATCCCGTCTTCTTGTTCGTGTCTCTCTATAACAGCTTAGTTTATCATTCTAAGTTTTGTATATTTTATTATAGTTCATGTATACCACTGATTGAGTGGAAGCAATGTGATCAGTTTGGACTACATTTAGAAACATGGTGTCTGATAAAATGTTGCCTACTTTATGATGATCTTTTTCCATCAATTGGAATACAAGTATGTTTATGATTCCATTTGAGTTGATTTATCCTATGTATCACATAATGGAACAGTGATACTACTTGTCATCATTACTATGTAGTCATGTCAAGATCTTGATATGACTATGGATGACAAATTGTGTCCGAGAGGTAATGGAGTAAAGAAAACGTTTCCACAATACGATGCATTAAATGAATCAGGTGAACCGGAATTGCATTCCACCATAGAGTTCACATGTTACCCGTGTATAAATACCTTTATAGTTTTGACGTTTATTCGTGCCTGCAAACCTTGTCTGTGTTACAAAGCAGTGTGTTGAAGTCAGATGTTTGTGTACAAGTAAATTATGGGCAGTGTGAGAGGATGTAAGTTTTGCAGTGAGTAGAACATTTTGTTCTGTAATTCGCCAACCAATTCATAATGTGCAACTGTGTGCTACGTGAATCAAAAAAGCTTATACAAAATGCAAGTGGTTAGCATGACAAATATCTGTAGGTATATTGTACATTCTATAAACACTTGAGACTCACCTGATGCAGGTTTCTTCTTCGCCTTCTTTACAGCTATGAAAACCAGTTAACATGAAATGAAATGTAACTATTTCGAATTCAAATGACACTATACAAATGTTTATACATTTAAATACTAACTGTGTGAGGAGAAGATATAAGAAGGCGACATATTCCTCCCGAAGGTCTACCACTTCAAAGATTTCTGGTTCCAAGTTGTGGTTTTAAGAACTTTTTCGATTTACATCTTATGTCCTCACTTCTCTCACTGGCTTCTTAATTGCTTGTTTCAGAAAACCATTTTAGATAATCACAAATAATTCCTAAATCAAGCCAAGCATTGAATTGAATGCCACTAACAACTTTTCTATTAGTAAGCCAGATTGAAGCATTTGACAACATTCGGGGGAATTTCAACATCGTGTTCTCCAGATTGTGTTGTCGTATGATGTAAACAAACAAGTAGTTGAGCAGGGGTGCTGGATGACACCATCAAATATAATTTTTTAGTCATAATATCACACTTGTATCTATCCAAGTTCGAGATAAGATTGCTAACTGTACTCATACATATACACTTCAGTTTTGAATGAGATGGTCTAAAGAAATGTAGGCACTGGATAAACGATATCCATCATTTTGGTATTTGTATTTTGAAGTGAATGTGAAACAGAATAAATGTTTCAATAGAAGACATGCTATTCAGTGCTGATAGATTCATTCACGACAGTTAGATCAAACTGAAGTAAACCATATCCAGGCTTATATATGACAACTTGAATTGAGTTCTTCTGCATGGATGATTCTGCATTGTCAAGTTGTTGAGTAGAAATGATGATGTTCACACGTAGTGAATTATGTGGTGTCTGAGTGATGATTAACTGCGCTTGCTTCACGGATATTTCAGATTGCCTAGAAACTTCCTTATTTGCATGTAATGAGGAGGTGATGCATGTCTGGAATCCTGGGAATTCGCCTAGAGATAGTGTACTGAAAAATGCGGCCATCGAAATGTGAAGAACCAGGAATAACTTCGCGAATAAGTTGTACGTACATGAACCTCATTTGATTTTGTCTGTAGACTTATGAATTTCCATGAAGGGCAGGTTTCGAACTGATGCCTAATCTAATCACAGGTGATCCTCATAATAGAATCCTTTCCATATCATTCTCTTAACTGGATGAAAGTCATGGTGATGAGATAGGTGAAATGCAAAATGAGAGAATAGAATTACCTTTAGGAGTACCTTTAGTAACCTTATAACTATGTGGTACAATTATCTCTTCTGTTTTCATTTCTGTGATGACATCCCATCCGTCTTCTAAAATAAGAAGAAAAGAAAAAGCATCAGGTTGTTTCAATGATGAAGATGTTATGTTGTTAACATTTTCACCGCAGTGTAATTTAACATTTGGATGGTTGTAAAAGATTCAAAGATGAATTGAGTGGAGATGCTGTCGACTGCAATCAACAACCAATTATCGTGTGTAAACGCACAGTCAATTTTCGCTTCTTCTTCTTCTTCTGTTCATTATATTGATATATTTAGCTGCCAACTTCCTCTTAGTTCAATCGTCCAAACTTCTCTTACGATCATATTGTCACAGTTGACTTTTCATACCTAATTCCCTCCCAACATCTGACAATCTGATGAAACACTTCAGTTCTTTGATACTTATTACTCAGTCTGACATATCGTAGTCTGATTTACACTAGTAATCAACAACGCGTTACTGACCGAGTGATTGTTGAACATTTAGATTTGCTGGCATACTCGAATGATGAGTTGATCATAATTGGGCGGAACAGTTTCAACAAATTATGCTTTCTAACTGATTAAGGTGATCGTTCGGTTTATATGGAAGTAATTTTTGTGAGAGATTGAAACCATTTGTGGAAGCAGTGAAAATTCAGAAGCACTGAACGCCCGTTTTGTCCTAGTTTTGGACATTCAACAGTGTATAACCACACCACTGTGAGAGATGGAGCTTGAATCCATCATGTCTCATGGCAAGTACTCTACCATTCAGTTACTTCGGGAAGATCCAACGTTCCATACACTGCTAAAATCTTTCTTTTGTAAAAATACCTTCTCACAACAACCACGTATCACCCCTTTTCGTGTTTAAACGTCAGCATGAAACTGAAGCCTTGCTGTCTACATGAGACTCGTCTCATCTTCAAACAGTCAGAACAGGTGTCACGTTCCATTGGTTGACGTTGTCCATCAGTTTCATAATCCTAGAATAGGACAGACATTCATTTGATGAATACATCAGTATTTCAGAGCACAGAAATAGTAAGAAACTAGTTTCCTCATAAATATACGAAAACCTGATCTGAGGCGATTCGTGACTTTTCTGAGTAAGTTCCATTTCAAGAGTAACTTGTTATCGGTTGAAAGTAAGGAGATCGAGTTTATGGCTTTCAACGGGAGTTCTCAACTCAACAATAAATTGGTGAGCAGCTATTTCTAAATGTATAAGACCATTTACTGAAGTTCAGCGAAGAATGATCAGCAAGCGAAATTTGTGTCTATACTACGTGCCCATCCATTTATCACCTCTCTTATCAATGGTTTGAAGGTGAAGTAGCAGAACTCATATCTTGTACACTCAGATGCTTCTTACTACGACTATCTCCCAAGACTTCTCTCTTCACACACCAGAACACAAATGCAGTGAATTTGAGATAGGAATGTCCACGTCCTATGAACTAAGTGAGTGATGAATTCACAATAAGTAAGAGTTGACATTCAGATGTTAGATAAAAACGTCTACTTTTGGTTTAGCTTACCTGGTGGAATAGTGAATGGTAAGGCTCTCTCTTTTCTTCCACCCTCTGCTGTACTATTCATCTCTTTCACCGTTTGCCATCCACTCCAATCTAGTCACGCTGTGTTAGTCAATATTGTATCTCACCTGTGATTGTATGTGTTTCATTTTCAAACACTTTCGGAGGTTTACCCACGTTAACACGTTTCATCAATTTTTTCACTGACTTCTCTACAAACAAGTTAAAATATATCATCAGTCAGCATACATATCAGTTTCATTTTCGCAAAAATTGACATGAGAATTTACATTAAATTCAAGTGTTCCACACAATTTGATTTCCATTTATTCAACACAAAATGTTTGCAAGAATTTATTCAGAACATATAAACAAGTCAGGAATTTTTCAGTCTCTCTCGACACACGTCTCACCGTTTGTTCACAAGAAGTTAAATCTGGTTTTATACTAATACTACTTATATGGTGGTTATTTCTCATCGAAATCGCATTGTTGCGCTTGCATAAAAGGATTTTAATATATATCACACAGATGTCAGACTGTAAATGGTCATGTACACTTATGTGTCGGTATAGCATAGAGAGTTTATGAAGTTTTCAATGAATCATTTATTAGATAACAATGAAAAGGTGAGCAAGTTACAAGAATTTCGATGTTTACAATAAGGGAATTTGCAGAAAGTTAGGCTGCTCAAAGTTGATGCGAGGATCATCTTACTGCTTCATATTCACTCATTTATGAAGATGGGAAAACGTTATTTCAGTGACCGCTGATGGTATAAAATATTCAATCAGTTACGGATTTTCGCAACAGTACTCATGTGTGAGACAGCAACAAAGTGAGTTGTGTTGAAGCCAGGAATATGCTGACACACAACATGGGTAAGCGTGCTGATACGATTGTGTAATTTGATCAGCTCCGATGACTAAAACGTGAGCTAGTTATAATGAGCCTTAGTCTACCTTCTTGGATGGCATTAGGTGAGTTGGAATCAAGTTATAATTAAGTTGGTGTTTGATGGACCAAGGTGTACTACGTCACTGAATGGTGATGAAAGTCATGTAGGAGTGTAGAACAATCAGAAGTTGGACATTCATCATGTAAAATATCTCTTACACTCATTCATAAATATATTTACTTATTTTCACCAGCGAAATGCTGAGCATTTTAGTATCATTTGTATCGCCTTATTTCGTGTACTCCAGTTCTCAATATCTCTTCCTTTCAAGTTTATGCATTCCTGTTTGTTTTGTGATCAAGATATTTCGACATCAGAGACTCCTAACATCATCACAAACGAAAGCAACTTGAAAATATTAGTTAAAACTCATAACATTCTGTCTCATCTAAGGTTATTCCATCCCATGTGATATACAGTTGTGTATAGTTCAATGTACTAAATGATAAGATATGACTATCTGCTACATCAAAGGACTAATCTAACATGAAATCATATTCTACCACAGTGCCTAAATTTATGCTTATATTGCTGTGAATAATAACCGTTAAATGCAGTTTTATTGATCATATCACGAAGACGAAGAGGCTCATCTCAAGACCCTACTAACCAGTTAGGCTTTGGTCTTTAGGATAGCATGAATGCACCTAGCCTTGAAATCTAATAAGTAAGTAAAATGAAGTTACATATACTTAGTTTTGTTTGTATTGTGTTCCCTGACGTGGGTTGTTTAACGAGTAAACAACCCACCTCTGAGAACTGATTGAAGCCACGACCATACTCCTGAGCTACAAATATTCTCCACCTCTTCATATACTTAGTTTGTCTCACATTTCAGTCTGGTTAACATTGTTTCATTGCAAGTGGAATGGAGACATTCGGCAAGAAACTTTGAGGCTAACTCTCATGCTAACTGGCATGCGTCATCAAGGTGTAGGTGTAACTGCGATGCAAAGAGGTCCGGACTGAGACTTGAACCCACGTTAAGAAGGGCTGCATTCATAGTCAACAATTGTATTTTCCACTTGTAAGATAAATAACTTGTGAACAAGATGCTAACAGAAAAGATTTTGATTTCGAGTGTGGAAAGGTGTAGCCTGGTCATGGAATGTATCTGAAGCAACATTGAAGTTCCTAGAGTTAATTGACAGACCTCAGTCAATGCGTAATTCCTTCCAGTGTAGGGTGACGCGCCTCAACAATCAACTAAATCTATCCTAATCTCTGAGAAGAATAGGGATTTAAAGGTCGCAGATACAAGAAATTAGGATCCAGCACTCCTAACATATTGCAAAGCATCGTAAACCGTCTTGTTCATGAATCGTACAAAAAATGAGCAGACTGGGTGTGATATTCGTATCTGTGTGTTGTTCACATCATTATCATCAGCCTGTAAATCATCTACAAATCAATTTGGCTTGACAATCAGTTTCTCTTGGTGAAAGGGCAAATATTCCCGACCAAGATATCCATTATTATTTTGCATTACACTGAACCAATTGAACCTTGATCTACGTTTTCATAATTTCATATTAGTATGTAGCATGACTGAGTAATTAGGCTTCGAGAATTGAAAATCCATATTACATTCATCAAATTGAATGCTTCAAACATAACAGAGTTAAATACAACGAGTAGGTTCACTTTTCATCATCACAGAGTAAAATAGGAACTATTCACTTTTCATCTGCGCCTTCATGATGCCATGGGTGTCGCCACCTAATTCGCATTAAGTGATACGGTGTAAAGTGTTGGAACAAAGATTATCATTAATAAATACTAAAATTTATTCCCGAGTGAACATTCTGCCAGCAGTTCTGTATTTTACGAGAAACGTAGACAAATGACAAGCTCCTCATAACTAGTATATAATGCGAGACAATCCCATGACAGATATTCCCCAAGGTTTCAATGAAACTTATCCTCATGAGCATCATCAAGATTGTGCATAAGCCAATCTGTAATCAGCATCATTCTTACAATAGTTCAAAACTACCCACAACGACTGACTGGATATTAAACTTCAACATTACTATCATTTCACAGCCACATAAGTGATAGACAAATTCTACTGTAACAACATTCAGATTTCTCTATCATCAACACTTCAGAAAATTACTGTACACATCAGTTACCTGAACAATAAATAAAGTGTTGTAGAATACAGAATACATTGTACAGGTTGAGCTTACCGTCAGCACCATCGACATGAAGATACAGGAATGCGCAAACAAGATACGTTGATAACAGAATCTGTGAGAAGATAAGAAACACATATTATTGTTCATTGTGTACACATTCCTTCACCTTCATCATTTCTGTTGAGTACTTGTTCTGCTTTTGCTTAAGACTACTTACTCACTGAAGCCTATTTATAGTAGGAGATTTCGATTTATCTTGACATAAAATGGTTATTATTGACCTGTTCTCAATTATGATTGACATTTCTTATTTCGTTTGACATTAAAATAGTTAATATTAGGAGTGAAGTTGTCAATAGAATTTCATCACCGACATCATAGTTCCAAGGAATCACTTGATTTTCGATCCAGTCTCATGGAACCGCTTACAACAGTAATCGAATACGTCTTTCACCGATCGAGTTATATCCTCTAATGGGTGATGTATAGAAGATCAAATTCAGAATCTTCTTTCAAAGTCATGAATAAAGTGAAATGAAACATTTCAATGAGAGTGAGGATTTGCCATATGAATACAGTAGTAGCTATACCGAGAATAAATTATAGTATGGTGACAATCTGATAAACGACTGAAACTGACACTTATATTTTGTTGAACTGAGAGTAAAATATGAACTTCGAATAGAATAAATATGACGTTGGTGGCGGTAACAAAAGACTAAACAAGAAGGGGAGTTGAACTTTGCAGTTTCTCATTTCCTAGTTGTGCCATCAGTGGATCTGCTGGAACAAGATCTAGCGATGGATCCATCAGCAAACGTTGTGTTTTACGGTGAAATTGGCCAAAAAATTAAAATTCCACAGTCATCATATAGAAAAACCCAGCTTTGGTTTGAAGTAGGTGTGAGTTCTTTAGTCTGCTGAGGTGTTCATAGCGTCTACTTGGTGTCCCACGTCATAAGACAGACATGCTCCTGCGCTGTGAAATGAGGACAAACCTCCGAGACGTAAACTCTTTGGCATGCACTGTTTGCAATCTTGGTAGACAACCACCGCTCTGTTCTTCATTCGTGCTTGCTACCGCCTGTAAATATGAATTGACAAGTATACTTAGATTTGCAACCTTATCTTATCAAGTCTGCTGAACCACGCATATTGGTTGCTTCGGTGAGAAAAGACTTGCAGCCTGATAGATTCCGCACAGCGCACTCCTAACTCGTGTGTTAATTCTCGTCTGAGCATCCTCTCCAATGTAAGCCAAACGCTTGTTGTTTTCAGTGATGATGCCCGTCGCTCACTTCTTTCGGCTTTGGCAGCTTTTCTGCACAAACTTCATCTGACAATCAATATTGAGTAGAAAATGTTCGTCCACCTTTACTTTGGGAGCTAAATCTCTCTGTCCTAGGAAAAACGTCCTAACTTAAGGCCTAATATAGCCAATTGAGCAGAATCTAGTGACGTTTAAACAGAATTCGCTTCATGTGAATTTGCTTTGATCGGTACCATCTAAAGTATCATTTTCACTATGTCTCAAACATAAGTCGAGAAAATCCAGTTGTTACTTCTTTTCAAATTCCATCCTTGCCTTAATCTTATGATGTGCACTGTTGAGATGTTGAGGCTGCTTACTTGATTGTTGTAGGTTTCAACAAATAATATACGTAGCATAAATATATCATAAACTAGGTATGGTTTCATCGATCACAGATTTTAGGGTGATGTTCCTAATTCTGATATGGAGATGTCCATCATTATCGATCCTAGTAGACTTCCAACATCACCTACAAATTGCTTATGCATGGTGCCATAAATTACATTTGAACATCTTAAGCGGGAGACGCTTCACTCCTGTTGTCAGCAAAGGAAGTTCTTCCGTGTCTTTTGTCTTTGATAACGATACACATGTGAAGAGAGAAGTTATATCACATGAAGTCACGAATGTGTCCGACATGCTGAAATAAGTTATTCCGTTGACGAACACACGGTGTTTCTCAAAGTACATATTGACAAATTCAAGCAAATCTTTCATCACTTCATTGCAAATAAACAGGGAAGCCTGTAATAGGAAACGGCTCTCCAATATATAAATCTCATTTATTTTTGGCTGTTCATA